GTTTCTTACTCTGTCCTTATTGTACTTGTCACTGATGCATCAGGCTGTATCTGGGCCATCTTACCTGGTGATCTGGTAAAACTAGAGCAGAGCCTACAGGTTAACTCTTTGAGGAGTCCAGATAACACACTTAACCAGAGTAGGAATTTCACGGCGGCCATGGCTGTCGTTGCCCCTTGGTCTGGCCGTTATGCCCCACAAATAATTGTACGTCTTACGGCCACAATGGGCTGTTAAAATCTCGAAGTTGCTCTAAGAGCGTCAGAGCACTGGTCTGGTCTCTGAACTGCGTTATGCTGCGTTCACAACGGACGCGATATTCGCATTGCTCTAATCGCTGGAGTTTCACCGTGGCTGTCAGCTGTGTTTACTCCTGTCATTCAAACAGGACACACTGGAGAGGGGGCAGGGCTTATATCCATGTAAATACTGTGGTAGAAACCAACTACAACAAAATGTACATATTTTACCGTGATTTAATTGTTGACAAAGCTGCAGACAAAACGGCAGGCAAAAAACCTTTAAAATGCGTGTTTTCTGAATGGAGATCGGATCGATCAGGCTAAACTAACCTGTAGCTGCTCCGTCCACACTCACAACAACTTCCTTAAGACAGAAATAAACCAGCGACTGTATTCGCCATGACACAGACAGTCCGTGGTTTGTACATGTTTAACTTTCGTCCAGTTTCTGAACAGATATGAGGAGCTGTGAGCTCTGTGTGCTAACAGCTAACGGCTGATGTTTTGGTTTCCTGATTCAACGTCAGTGGCTGAGATCCTCACTGCTGATTGACTACCGCGAGAAAGCGCCACGTGAATTTGACGCTCGAGTTGAAAACATTTATTAAAGAGACTCTCGTACATACACACGCACACAGACTTTTGCATTTCAAAGTATTGCTTGTTCATACAAATGAATATTTGAGCTTCACTGTGCACTGCTGAATGATGTATGTGCAGAGTTTGACCCTTGAAGGCTGTTTCTTCTGCTCTTAAATGGAATATATTTGTTACATAATAGAATTTTAGATTTGATTTCGATTTGTGAATGGAAGAAGTAGTAGATGGAAAACATACCAAACACTAATTATTCAAAGTAGAGTATTTCCTTTTATATACGGTAATGCTAAGGAGGCATAGGCCTATATGATTATAATGTTTGACATTATTGATATTAAAAGTGATTTATTTGTAAGCTCCAAATCCACATTTTTCCCTCAATGGCCTTTGTGCCCTGGCATGTGACCTTTGTGCCCTAAACAAATGTGTGACACCAAAGTAATACGATTGCGTCGGGGAGCAGGAGGTTGATGCAAAACCTAGTACGGAAGCCGCTACTTTACTACAGGATCGACCATGTCTTCACGCACAGACGAGTGCGGGTGTGTGGTCTTATGGGAAAAGGACTCAAAGGTTACTCCCATGCGACCGGGCCCGCTAACCAACAGGTCCGCAGAGGGGCCGCTTCGAAAGTTCCGCACCAGACCGGCGTTCGCTCGCCGTACCTGGCCCGTACACGACGGCCGACGAGGTGAGTTCGACACACTGCTCGTCGAACCGAAACCTGAAAGCTGAGATATTATGTGAGCAGCAGACGCGAAGACGAAGTAGTGTGTATGGTCGCCCTATGTAGACAGCGTACATGCTTACGACGCCGAGTGTGCGTGTACCTTGGCTTTGCCTCTTCTTTTTTCTTACTTCCTCCTTGGTTAACATTCGTTTTACCGTGATTGATTATGTTGTTGTGTTACGTTAATTCGAAATAAATTTCCCAAAATAATAACCGGTGTCCCTCGGAAAAACATGATGATAGCACCTATGTCCCCAGTGTCTGTCAGAACCGACGTCCGGTTTTGTTGCTAACAAATAAAAGTGGAGACCCTCGCTCAAATTCTTTTCATGACACCTACAGAATGTAACACGACTGTGTGATCTTATTCGAACCATTAACGAAACGCTACTTTTTGATTCCAGTTGTAGACTATACCTAAGTAAATGAGGTAGAAAGACTGAGTGCTGTCTATTTCGGGTACTTTTTTTTAGAAACAAAGGAAATCAATATTGGAGTCCTTTCTTTCTACATTGGATATTTAACAGTTCGACGGGTGATTTAGATGAAATTTAATTATACGTACCTTTCGGGGGAAATCTACATTGTAGTATATAAGGTGTATTTTCTACTAATGTGTGTACAAAATGAAAAGCGATTGAATTGTTTGGAAAAACTTAGTAATTGTGAGTCCGGATATTCTTGACGTCTTTGTGAAATTATTAGACGACCAAGCGAAAGGACGTCATGAGACGACGTCTCTCGAAGACGAGGACCCGGTAAATCTTTTCCCTCTCACAATTCCTCAGTAAAAGATTTTTCTTCACGTGACCGACTCCACGTAAAAACTCATCAAATTCTAAACACCCCACAACAATTTTACAGCGATATTAAGAGCGTTACCAGGCTCAGTAGTGGAGACCCTTAAAAGACAGGTGAAATCACATTCTCTAGGTATCTTTTTTTTTTTTTTTTTTTTTTTTTTTTTTTTTTTTTTTTTTTTTTTTTTTTTTTTTGTATAAAATCGTAAATAAAATCAAAGTTTTCGTCATAGAAAAGGTGACATGTAGTAATCTATATTTAAGACACAAAGAAGCAGGAATAAGGTAAAAAGGAGAAAACGTGATAAAATACCATTTTACCATTTACCTCGACTGAATATATGCGACAATAGGTCGAGGAATTCTGGGGAGTTTCGCGTAATGGTATGATGTACAGTACAGTGGGTAAGTGTGGGTAAGTATGTCTCGTCACATGGAATGAGATCCTGGATTGTAAGTATGTGTAAGTGTGGCAAACCGGTACGGTAGCCCTCGTTTGAGTCCCTAATTCATCGAACGGGTTGCCTATGTAGCTGTAACAACTGACGTACCCGACCACTAGCTTGGGTGTTGGCAAGACCACTTTCTGCTGCGTGAGAGGAGTGTCGGTGTCAGCGGGAAATAAATATAAAGAAATAGAAGAACATGATGAAACATGATACATATTTATATATTGTAAATACAACGTACAACCATTCTCGGTTCCTGTATTCTAAAGTAGGGTTTGATGTGACATGACGATCTCCAGTTTGAGGATATTCAGAGGGACATTTAGTGTGTCGGTTTGTTGTCCTAACCTGTTTACGCTGGGAAAGAGGGGGTACGTTAATTTCTGCAGATTTCGGCTACTTCACTAATTTCCATAATCCCTTCTTCTGGCCTTCTTCACTCAAACTAGACACAGGTGTCGTGTGCAGACCAAGATCCGGACTTGCCCAGTGTAAATCTCTCCGGCTCCCGTCTACATTAGTGTCTGTGAAAGTATGTGGTATAGTAATAATACATTACATCAGAAATAAGAATACAACACACATATATCTATATATCTATATTATAAATATATAAGATATAAAAATATAAAGGACATTAAAGAAATCGGGAAAATGCAAGAACTGATCAAAAAGAGAAACAGATAAACATACAACGCTAACAGGACTCCTCGCACCCATTAAAGACACAATAGAACGTTTCTTCATGCCGACATTTCCGGAAAGCCAAAACTAGGAACTAGGAAAAGTCGTGCAAAACAACAAAATTTAAGCAAAATATGTCAATTTAAACGTGGAACTTGAACTGATGTCGTGTTTGTAGTTGTAACATTTGCATAGCAAAAGTACATGTGTGTGTGTGTGAGACACTAGGACTCCCATAGTGTGATGTGAAGTCGTCAGTGTGAGGTGACTACGTACGAGTCCACCAACGGACTATTAGACCCACAACCTAAGTCACTGAGTGGAGAGGGCTACGTCTAGTCAATGAAACTGAGGCTGTCAAGGAGGTCAAGTCGTTACCTGGGATTATGTAGTGGTGGACTGCCTTTTGTGCTTTTGTGTGAGAATAACTCTTTACAATTTGTCGTAAGTCACGTTTTAATAAATACTTCATCCAGGATGAAAATGTCTGAAGGACTCACTGAAAGAATCTTCATGTCATACCAATTCACGTCCGACCCTAAAGAGTAAAATCCCCGTCNCTGTTAAGTATTTTATCAAGTGTCTAATCGTTATTTACACTGGAGCCTGTGTTAATGAGACATTTATCGCACTTTACATATAAAAGGAAGATGTCTTTTGTGATCGTCAAAAGGAAAACCTAAGTAAAATTTTCGTTTCACCATTTATAAATGCATCTCAACTGGTTTAACTGAGCTTTGTACAGAGCACCTTGGCATTATGTAAATGTTTTCATGGAAATGTTAGTGTGACCTTTAACAGGTCAGAGGCACTCTTATTAACATTGCACTCTTGTGCAACATTTCAGTGTATGTAATGTAATGTAATCGTCCACATTGAATCATTACGATTTCAAAATCAGCCATGTGTTTTGATTCTTTAACTTTTCTGACTCCTCACGTTAAATATTTTATAATAAAACACTTTTTCCATTCCATTCATTCTCCATTTTTTTTAATCAAAACACAGAATAAATAAAACATTTGAAATGTGTAAAGAATTAATTGTTATACACATTGGATTCTTTAAATTATTTTATTGTTAATAAATACAATGTTTTATTTTATGCTTTATTATATGGAAAGTAGCTGTCAGTAAAAAAAACAGAGAAAGCTATTCAGGCTTTTAGGGTTACATTTTGGCTGGGTGGAAGACTTGATAGCCATAAGGTGTAAAAATTATCTTAAGTGTACTTCGATGTTTGTTTATGGGAAGAAGAGAACATTCTGTTGCATGTGAACTAACTCGGCTCACATAGCTATCTGTTCAATGCTTATCTCCAGAATAAAGTCTTGGAAGCCAAATAAAACAATAACCAGGGCTTTCATTCTGTGGTTTGCCAATAAGTAAACAAATAACCTGCTTTTATAAAGACCTTTCATGGTGTATAGGCAGATCATATTGGCACAAATGCAACATTATTATAATCCCGGCTAAAAACATTCCAGAGTTATGATTCAAAAGTAATTCATTTTTTATTTACAGTCATATGATTACAAAATCCACACTCCTACAAGGACATTTAGTCACCAGCACAGTTTGTAAACGTGAAACACCTCGTTTATTGTTGATTTATCATATCTCCAATCTTTCGAAAAGATCCCATGAAATGGCCACTTGAGCTTCCTATAAAACATTAAGGCCATGTGATATTTCCATCAACTAAGGCTCGTTTTTTAAACAACAACTCACCCATTTGTTTACAGCAAGATAGATAGCTTATGGTTTAATGTTCCCCTGTGATAAGGACTTCTGCTCCAGGGCACTTCCCCCTCTCCTTCCCTTCATTTCCTGTCCGTACGGTCAAGCTTTGAATGAAAACCCCAGAAGTAAGGACACCATTTCATGGGATGACAGTGTTCACCAGGTGGACACTCAGATGTTCTGCTACTGTGCAAAGGCTGTTACTATGTCTCATTGTCAGTTAAGGTTCAAATGCACCACACTGTTTGATTTGAAAAATATCAACACACTAAATTAACATTAAAACGTATTAAATCGGTTTTGTTTTTACTACCTTTTTTGATTGTACAGCAAAGTTTGTTTTTGTTACTGTGCTGCCATTTCAACTCTTAAACACTCTGTTACTACGTAGCGTCAATCCAATGAATTGCCAACATATAAACTGTCAAATCCTTGTAGGTATAGTATGCGGAGGAAAACCATTTTCAACTCATTATACTGGAAAAGCACTACTTGAATGGGATACCAAGTATTGGCCAACGGTTAAAGTTAGTGCAACAGGCCATAGACTGCAACTAAACTGGACTGAAAACTCGACCATTGTCCACAAGTCGCCATCTAGTGGCTAATGTGACAAATACATAACACAGTTGTGATGATAATAATAACGGTCTAATACATGTATTGAAAATGTTTCACATTGAATCATTAGGTTTTCCAAATAAAAAGCAGCCCTGTGTTGTGAAACTGACTTCATGTCTGGATTCTCTGACTTCTCAGTCAAATATTTTATATAAAAAGTACATGTGCCATTTGTTTAACAGCATTATCAAAACATGGGAGTGAAAAGAAAATCTGAAACATGTTAAGTAAAAAAATTCCAACGTTACATCCAAAACATAACTCGGCATCATCCATCCCACCCAGGTAGCCGTCACTCACAGGCCGACATGTGTCACTCCGAGACTCACATGCTACGCCATGTAAATGTACGTCAATTGTGTTCACAATCAACAAGCCTTTGCCATTTTCTGACCAACTGCTGCCTCGGTGACGTACAGTAGATATCTTATGACAGACCACAAGGACATTGTGTTCATCCTTTTTTCGATGACAAGGAGTAACACATTAAAAAAAGGAGATTGAGAATGAACGACTCCATCTCAGCCAGGTCACAGTCCGTGATGTATCTGCTGGGAACTTCAACAGACCCGTTAGATGAGTAGTGAAGGGGTGGGTTTTTTCCCGGGCCAAGCTTCTTTGGCATACTTCTTTTTGCGTGGCTCGTTGTGGGTCTCTGGAAGGTAGGGGGCTATGACGGGGGTGGGGTTGAGTGTGATAGGAGGCTGGTGGGCTTCTGGGTCCAGGTCCACCTCTGGTGCTGGGTTAGGGAAGGGCAGAGGAAGCCCTCCCTGCATAGAAGCCCCTCCTGGAGCTCCTGTCGGCTGGTTCTCATGACTGGTGGGCGGCAAGTCCCCGTAGAGACCACTGCCCAAGTTGTAGCTGTGGATGCGCTTTGAAGTCATGTCATCGAGACCCAGCGTGTTATGGCCCTCTGATCTGCGTTTCTGCAGCAGGGAGGGACAGAGTCAAGTCATTAAGGATGGACCAAATACGTTTCCGGGGTTCAAATGCAGCAAACACTGTCATGTGGTGGCTATTAAAACGTATACCTTTATTACTGTGACAGATTTACACTCATCAGAATCGGAGAAGGAAGCTCAGGGGTTGGACTGAGAACAGCACCGGCTATTCCACTAGCCAGCCTGCTCATGTTGTTCAAAGGAAAATAAGACTCAGGCTAACCCAGTAACGGGAGATGGGCCTACATTTTTTTAAAGACACCTGGCTCCATGTTGGCATCTCGGGTCAAGCTTTTGGCTGGCGAACCACAAAGCCAAAAAGCAGGAATTTGGAGGAAGACTGAGTTCCTATTTGGTGCTCATATGTCAGATGTTTCCTGGATGTGGATTTTTTTTTGTGTTAAGATGCCTGCCAGATTCTATACAAGGAGAATTGACCCTTTTTCACCAAGTTGTTTACATTCATCCTGAGTCTAATTAAAAAAAATGCACTACAGGAAGGCACTTCTCATTTTACCGTGTTTGTAATATTGTGTTGCAATAAATAGGAAATGGTATTGTGTTACAGTAAAACGGTTATTAATGCAACATTGGACTTTAATTAGTCAACTCTGGGCCCTTGTGTTGTAACACCACGGCGGATATTTATATGTAAACAAGTTTATTTCATTAGCTTATTAGTTTTACTACATGACATTCATCCTCTCTTTATTTCACTGAACTGCTGATCACAAAGGTTTGGCTGTAAAACGTTCAAAGTGGATGAAGCCCCATGTTAAGAGCCAAGTGACCTTGAAGCTTTGGACGTCAGACATGAAACACAAGCTCCTGATATATCTAAATAGTGTGTTTGGCAGCAGTAAAACAAGCTTTGTTAGTATTCACAAAGCCCTACAGGTCACACATTTAGCCCATCCCAAATGATCAAATTGTTATATAAAATGAGTACAATCTTATTTTTCATTGAAATGGATCAGTTACACCAGCTGCATCTGACATTTTGAAGGACAAAACTGAAGCTTACCTTGATCGGGATGACAGCAGTCTGCACCATGTTTCTAAACCGTCCCACCGAGGGGTCTATGTCCTCTGTAAGAATTTAAAAGAAAGTGTTACAATGTATTTGACAGTGCATTTCTTCTCTTAGAAAGCAGGACTGTACGGAGAATAGCTTGGTTATATATTTAGAGTATGCAAGTTAGATCACTTAACTGAAACACATGATTAGTATGTTACCTGTTTGTAAAAGCCTTAAAAATCTAATCCTCTTTAATCATTTCTTTCTCAGTTAAATGAAACGTCAATATTCTTACAAATAATTTACCAAGGGACGACTTAAAAAGGAGAGCAATCAACTACAAAAATCCGTAACAGTTAGAAGGACAGATGTCTTGTTTTTACAGTTCTACCGCCTGTCACTTTGAGTCGTACCTGGGTTGATGATGGAGTCGTCCTCGTTGAAGGTGACCCTGGAGTTTCTCCGTTTCCTCTTAGGTCTCTGGATTTCCAGATTGCCCTCCTCGATGGTCAGTAGGGAGATGCGCTTGTTGTGTGCCGTGTTGAACTCCGTCAGGTTCTGAAAGGAGGCAGACAGAAAATATATTCATTTCAAGATGTAACTACTTTACAACAGGACAACATAAAAGAATGAGCCGGCTAATAAACAGCTTCATACACCCAGGAAAAAGACAGCACTTGTTGATAAGAGGAAATAAACAGGAATTGTAATCATCTTAGGCTCTAGTGCGTTGGTGTGGCGCAGTGGAATTGTGCGTTGGTGTTGGAATCAGGGGGGCACAGGTTCAAACCCCACTGCAGTCAGCATGTCGTTGTGTCCCTGGGCAAGACACTTCACCCCAAATTGCTCCTGTGGGGATTGTCTCCATTGATGAGTATGTCGCTTTGGATAAAAGAGTCTAACATGTAATGTAATCTTATGTTAATGCTATGTTCCTCAAATGGTGGCACACGGATTTGTGCTTTTCTACCACTCATACAAGCTTTGAAAAGATGACACTGATATCTGAGTAATCTAAGCTGCTCGCAGTCACACATTTGACTATGAGTTTGAGGCTATCTTTGGAAATGACATTTTGGAACTATGCTAATCATAAGGATATTTTTTGCACATCAAATTCTTAATGCTGTGAACCTGATATCTAGGAAAGAGGAACAGATTTGACTGAATAATCGTATCTTTATTTATTTGAGTGAAAAAGGACTGAAACACATAAACAGTGTGGTGCATCTATTACACCGATCCCATCAGCAAAAACATGTGGGTTTGCTATCCTGGCTTGAAACGATGGAATGAGCTCCCCATTGATATCAGGACAGCAGAAAGCTTACACATCTTCCGGCGCTGACTGAAAACTCATCTCTTTCGACTCCACTTCGAGCAATAAAACTACTATCAAAGCACTTCTATGTTAATAAAGGACTGGCTTATCTAAAGCCAGTTGAGTGGCACTTGAAATGTTTTCACTATGAAACCTGATGTACTTATATGATTCTGTTTTCTTCAAGTTTGTATCTTCTTGGTCGAATGCACTTACGGTACGTCCACAAAGCAGCTTTGAAAAAATCTTGAAAATCTTGGAGCTGGGCGTGTCTGAGAGCTTGGGGATTTTTTGCGAGCAACGCGACCAACAACCAATCACATGAATCTCCCGCCCCCGACATACAAAGCAAAAAACCCCGGGGATTTTATGCGAGCAATATATATATATATATATATACGTNCCACATCATGTAGACAGCCAGTCACCCTGTGTGAGGCAGGCCACATCATGTAGACAGCCAGTCACCCTGTGTGAGGCAGACCACATCATGTAGACAGCCAGTCACCCTGTGTGAGGCAGGCCACATCATGTAGACAGCCAGTCACCCTGTGTGAGGCAGACCACATCATGTGGACAGCCAGTCACCCTGTGTGAGGCAGGCCACATCATGTAGACAGCCAGTCACCCTGTGTGAGGCAGGCCACATCATGTAGACAGCCAGTCACCCTGTGTGAGGCAGACCACATCATGTAGACAGCCAGTCACCCTGTGTGAGGCAGGCCACATCATGTAGACAGCCAGTCACCCTGTGTGAGGCAGACCACATCATGTAGACAGCCAGTCACCCTGGTGAGCAGGCCACATCATGTAGACAGCCAGTCACCCTGTGAGGCAGGCCACATCATGTAGACAGCCAGTCACCCTGTGAGGCAGGCCACATCATGTAGACAGCCAGTCACCCTGTGTGAGGCAGGCCACTTCAGGCCATCGGGAACCCCCCCGGTCCTCCCGATGGCCAGTCCGGGACTGGGTGCAGGAGGCGTAGAGCAAGGGATCATTGTCCACAAGTTAATCGATCACAGATGGCAACATGGTCACGGACAAATAAAAAAATATATATATACGCAAAATATACTTGGGCGGCCGTTAATATACCTGGGCGGCCCGCCCAAGTATAGTCTATGTGTGGGAAACCCTGCAATAGTGCAAGACGAGATAACAAATAAAATACTGCAAGAGAAAGGTGACACAATTGTGCAAATAAAATGCAGACATTTAACTAAATACATGTAGCAAATATCGTTCTTTATAATCCACTACATTTATTTTATAACTTTTATTATACTTTTTTTTGTTTGTGTGTAAGGACAGAAGGTTTCTGTATTCTGAACAGACTGTAAAGACCAGTGATGACAAATGTGTAATTTGTGATATTGATTAATTGATTGATTGAATATTTAAATTAAGATTAATAAAACCAAATATAATCAACAAATAATTGATTGTGTATAATGTAAGAAAACTTTAACAATCCCCTGATTAAATCCAAGCTCCTCCAGTTCCAACATACATATTGAACACTTAGTATTAATTAATAATTACTTTTAACTCATGTGCAATGCTGGTTCTGGTTATTTCTTTAACCTAATCACTTTAATACCCACATATATATTTTATACTAACTCATTTAACCTACAAGGCCTTCTCATCTTAATTGTTGTAAACATTTCCCATTCCATCTCTAAAGTGCAGCTGTATATAGCTCCCTCTTCCTCCTCAGAGCGCGTGCGGGTGGTCTCGGAGCTGCAGGGCATCACGGTGACGGCGGGCGAGGACGCCGTGTTCGAGTGCGAGCTGACCCACGCCGATGTGAGCGAGGGGGTGTGGTGGCTGGGCCAAAGCCCCCTGCAGAGGAACGAGATGAACCAGATGACGGTTCGAGGCCGGCAGCAGCGCCTGGTGCTCACCATGACGACGCCCGACGAGACCGGCATCGTGGCGTTCGTGATCGGGGAGGAGAAGACCTCCGCACGACTGCTGGTGGTTCCCAAAGCAACGGGTAAGTGAAGAGAGAAGATGGAGGGGTCATTCAGGGAAAAAGGAGAACAGAAATCATTGATTTTAGCAGTGGGGAAATATATATTGGAACAGCAAATTACACGGTACAGATAATAATAATAATACATGTTATTTATATAGCGCTTTTCCTTGTGCTCAAAACGCTTTACAAGCAAGTGAAGAAGATAAAGACAAGATGAAAGAATACACTATTATTTAAAGACACCAGCACATTATACAAAAGAATAAAATCACATTGGTACACATCTGAGGTATAACAAAGTAAGTAGCAGTTATACAAGTAAGTGGAACATTTAAAAGTAGGTAGCAGCCAGTGATAACATTAATAAAGAGCACACAGTATATTTCCCAATTTTTTTTTACAACAGTGTTGTTACAGTCTTAAGTAAAAAGTAAACAGCCAGTTACGGCCCGTCCACACAGAAGCTTTGAAAAAATCTTGAAAATCTTGGAGTTGGGCGTGTCTGAAAGCTTGCGGATTGTTTACGAGCAACGCGACCAACAACCAATCACATGAATCTCCCGCCCCGACATACAAAGCAAAAAAGCCCGAAGTAAACTGGATATAAAATCCCCAAACAGGCGAAAACCTACCAGTTTCACCCACTGTCTCTGCCACCTCCCTCCATGCCTGGTTCCTCCGGTTTGTATCCCGGTAAATAGTTCTGGTCGTAAAGAACCGGGTGATTTGCTACCGTAATTTCTCGTTTGGAATATGAGGAAATGAACTGCGGTCTGTCTCTCCCAGCTTGCACGCGGTTTGATTGGCTAGCGCTTGTACTGTCAGATTTGCATAAACGGGATTTGATTGGCTGACGCTTCCAGCTCAGCTTCAAAAGTTGAACATTTCTCAACTTTTGAATCCTGAAAATCTTCGCTTTGCTTCCCCACAATGCAGTTCGGCGAAAAGCGAGGCAAAGTGACGTCAACCCCATTCAAAGTCAATGGGCAGAGAAGCGTTGGAAGATTTTTTTTAAAGCTGCTGTGTGGACGTACCGTTATTGTAAGTCGCTTTGGATAAAAGTGTCAGCTAAATGCAATGTAATGTAATATTAGCAGTCTACCTAAAACAGCAATTTGCAGACAACAAATGTTATGATTAAAACACAAGATGCATCCATTTGATTTCTCCTTTATACAGTTCATGTTTTAGAGCGCGATAATATCGTTATTATTGAGAAACTAGACGTACCTCCAGCTCTGTCTCTTCCTCAGGAAGCCCTAGCAGTCCTTTCAGCTCCTCATCCTCTCCGGTCTTACTGTCTCCTGTGCCGGCGGTGCCCTGGGTTTGGGGTTTCTCTCTGATGGTGTAGGTTCTTGTTGACGCCCCAAAAGATATCGTCGAGTCTATGGGAACTTGCTGAGGCTTTTGTCCCTCCAGACGGATGTGTCCAAGGTAGGTACCGTGTGCTAAAATAAAAACAATTCAATAAAGAGGTTTGCATATGTAAGGACAGATTACTTGACAGATTTGTTACATTATAGTGGAAATTAATGAAATGTGATTCATAATTATTACTTTTTCTATAAACACAGAAACGAGATGGTTAAAAAAAGTAAATTACAATGTTTTCAAATCCAAAAGTAAAAAGTTCCAAATGCTTTTTCATTTCAAAATCAAATGAACACTTAAAGACAGAAGAGGTGGAACACTTGAGGAGCAAAGTGTTGTTAACTGAATTACATAAAATATGACCAGAATAGTTGCAAATACATGTTCTGTCAATCGAGTCTCAAGCAAATAACCTCTGAGAGTTGTATTAGTTTTTCCGCCTTTTGAACATGTATATCCAACATTCAAAGTGTAACTGATGACTTACTGCTGTTGAGGTCAATGAGAAAGACCCTTTTCAGGTGTTTGTGGTAGATCAGGGCAGCGTGGACACGCGAGCACGACTGATGGTCGATGGTGAAGTCGCACCAGTCGGGGTTTCTCCCAAACAAGTAATACTTCTTTTCGTCTATGATCAGTTTCTACAGGGAGAGACAGTTTCTGTGAGTCAAAGTCATTTTCAAACTGGCTAAATATTTCTGTAAACACTCCTGCAATCTGTCTGTGCCTCTGAGCCATAACTCATACAGTGTTGCTTTCCACTGAAAAGCTTAAATGTCAGGGCTGATGATGTTCTTGCACCATTTGAAGCCATGCAGCCATAGAAAGTCCCAAAAGTGTTCAACACCTCTGGGACCAAGTGGACTGTCAGGCGTGTATCTGGTGCATTCAACTGTCCTACAGTAGTATTGTACATGCAGCGGTCCAATGCAGTGAAGTACATTTACCCATGTATTGTACTTAATTGTTGGGGTACTTGTACTTTACTTGAGTATTTTTATTGTATGCTTCTTATACCACGACTCCTCTACATCTTGGAAGCCAATACTGTACTTTTTACTGCACTACATGTATTTGACAAAATGAGTTACTAAACTAACCTTACAGATGTATGGCAAGGTCACTGATACATGAGGTAAAAAAGAAAACCTTAAAAGTTACCTCCATTAATTTGTCTCCCTTCATCACGTCTAGATGGAGTCCCTGGGGTGGCTTTCCTGCCCTGAAAGGAAAAAGATTATGAACTTTTTGAACATATAAAGAGTCTACCTTTGGTGCATTTGTGCAAAGGTGGTATTTAAAGGTTTGTTGCTGTAAATCATCTCATGAAAACGTTAACATTGAAGCGGTCGTCATCTATGCAACACTATACCAGACCAATACAATGTTAAAATGACCTATCGTTATAACTGGACGGCTTCTGCTCATAAACGAGACTTATAAAACCATGCACATGTAGCAACGTGTTTAAAAAAAGCCGAAGAAGAAAAAGGACACCAGCGTTCATTGGTTAGCATGCTAGCTAGCTTGGTTGCTAATGATAGCTACAGTAACTACAAGCTTTTCTCTAGGTTAAAGGTAAGTTATATAAATGAGGGTACGCGGCTCTGCTCATGTGCCTTTGGTATGGCATTACAAACAAACAGTTACAACTTCAGCATGTGCATTTTGCTCACCATGATGGACAATCAAAGGGAGGAGCACTCTCTTTGATTATTTTAGTCGCCATCTTGCCTCATCTTCTCACAGCCGACATGCATGCTGGGAAAACGTCACTTTGGTTAACTGCCCTGGGAGTTGTAGTCTTAAAACTCTGTCTAACACAGGGGCGTCAAACTCAAATACACAGTGGTATAACATTTAAAAAAACGGTACTAGACTGGTTCAATGTTTATTGCCAAACGTATTGGAATGAAATTATTGCATATATTAAACCTAGAACTAACAAAGCTTAAATTATTGCCTATAAAAACAACATTAAACATTGAATAATCAGTAGCATTAATTTCTTATGGCTCTATCTGCAGATTTTCCGGAGTCATTTCTTATGATTACATTTTTCCACAGGCCAACAACAGCTTCAAAAAAACAATTTCCCTCAAAGAAAAAACCAAACATGCCCTGTTGTCTCAAGAAACAAAGTGCAGAAGGAAACATCCATTGAAACTCAGTTTGCAGCTCTGTGATGCACACTAAGCCAGATACTTGGCATCTCATCTTGGGTGCAAGTTCATCAATGTTTGGGCTCAGGCTCTGAGCTGAGGAAATCCTCAGGATGGAGTGAAGGTGTGCGTGCAATATACCGTCGGGCCAGATCTAATAGTAATTGGAAATTATCCTGCGGGCCGAAATTAAATCTACCAAGGGCCTGATTTGGCCCCCGGGCCTTGAGTTTGACACATGTGCTCTAACTAGTTACATCAAAAATAAAAACATCAAATATTTTAAATGAAACTTTTATGTCCACGATTTAAACTGAAATTTAGCAAAGTTATCGTGATCATACTCTCCCTGTGTTAATATCAAATGAGAGACAATACAGTAAACAAGACTTTACTTGTAATAAACCTAACTAGGCCTATGTACACTGGAGGAGGTTCTCATATTGTAGACTTCTGACCCAAAATAGGCAGAGGTGGAAGAAGTACTCAAATTGTACTTAATTAGAAATACCAAAGAATAGGAATACTCAAGTAAAAGTACTGCAATCAATTTCTTCATGAAGTAAAAGTATAAAAGTATTGGCATCAAAATATACATATAAGTACCAAAAGTTCTGCTCATTGAGCAGATTGGCCCATTTCAAAATATGCTATATGTTTTGATTATAATTATTGATGCAATAATGTGTTATCACGGTGCAGCTAATTTAAATTCCTTTGTGCAGTGCAAGGTAACAGGTGAATGTGTCTCCAGGTGTAACTAAAGTCTTATTTAAGTGTTGATTTTTAATTTCCTAATATTCATTCAAATCTGGAAAGTAACTAAAGGTATAAAAGAAAATGTAGTGGAGTAAAAGTACATGATTTACCTCTGAATTGTAGTGAGGTAGAAGGACAAAGTCCCTCAAATCGCTGAAAATAGGTATGTTGCAGAAAGAAAACAAATGTAAACTAATTTGAGTTGTTATGAAGAGCTGGTGGTTTGATAAACCTGAAAAACACAAGTTTGTCTGATGTCATATTTTGTTGCAGGGCGCTTTGCATCTTAATTCTCGACTGTGCTTGCTGAAAAACACATACATCCATTTCAGTACATGCGTGGTTTTGTAAAGATAGCGTTTGGGGCAGGGGGAGGGGTTGTTAAAGGGATTCAACAAGGGTTTCATTAGGAAAGTGTTGTGGGTTTTGTCCGATACTGTGGGGTTATTTTGTCGTGTCATAGAGGTGGGAGGGGATCAGCACAAGGAAGTGAGGGTGCTGTCTCTTTCTCAAGTGAACAGAGGGTACGTTCCTTGCATGGAGGCTGTGTCATAGGGTACTTTGTAGGAATAAAAGTAGCTCCTTAACAGCTCAAGGAAACCCTCTTCTGGTTGTCTGGGTTAAACATGTCGCCTCTGTCCTTTCTGTCAAGTATAAACTATTATTTGTGTGGTTTTGTGTTTTGCAATAGATTGGGGAACAAATTATATTCGGCCCTGTGAAATCCTTCCACACAGTCTTTACAAGATACAACACGTTGTGGTTTCAACAAGACAACGTTTGCACCTGTTCGACATGCAACAACATGATGATGTGTCTTGAAATTGTTAGTCCTTGAAACTAAATTGATTATACTTGTCATATATGTACATTTTATTGTACCAGGAATTGTAGCCTATGTATGTATTGTATGTATCAACACACAAACACGTGTGTAAGGTTTGACCCATTTCCTTTAAATAGTCTGGATTAGAATATCAGTTTCTATGTTCTTTATGTGAAAACAAATCAATTTATAATTTAGAAATATGAATTACACATCAACAGTACTACAAAGCATTACTCATAGAATCGGTCCTCCGCCTGTACATGCACCGTGCAAAGATATCCTGTTACTTCCTCATTCAATTTTGTGGTTTTGACTGAGAGGCAACAACCTTTTATGCTTGGGTTGTAACTCTGTCAGCCTTCACTTCTGATCGCAGCTCACTGAAGCAGCAGTGATGGCAGGCATGACTGCGCTGTCACTTCAACAGTTCATTGCTTCATTGGACAAATCTTGTCTACCAAAAATTTTACAAGTTTGCTCTGGAGTGTATTTCCAAGGTAGGCATTTGATTGTTTTATTCATTGTGAACGGATAATGTGAGTGTAGATGAAGTGAGGACACAGTTGAGAGGGTTAGAGATTATCTGAAGAGATAAAATGGCTACACATGGTAAACTGTCTGGATTGTTGTATTGTGTGTTTATATCTATACTTTTAAATCTATATTGTATTTATGTTTCCTTCTTTGCCAAAACCCCAAGTCAGACCTTTTTGTGGAAAGACACAGAGCATTATCTTTTTGTTGGTTATTCGTGCTTAAAATATCTGCTCACTGTTAAATGATGATCATGGTATTTAGCTTTGCTCTATTTCCCGTTCTCCGTTTCAGGGTCTGTATATGAACTTTCTGGGAGTGAAGTCTGCTTTTCTACTGGGGATCTAATAAAGGTCATTGACATTGAGCTCCTATCGGTTTCCTGCGAAGACATCAGCAACGATGAGAAGTTTGAGCTTCCGATCAACCACACAGGTCGGTCTGAGCTACAGATAAGATTCTGGTGAGAAAAGCTCATTTTGTGTCTCAGCTGAACACCGACACTTGTTTCTCTTTCTCAGGTTTGTTCAAGGTGGTTCCAGAGGAGATGCCGTACACTTCAGTGGAGGAGATGGTGAGCCTGAGACCCCTGGGCCTGGAGTCCTGTCTTCCCTTCACTTTCACCAACCGCTCAAAGATAACTGTTGGAAACTTCACACTGGGGGCAGGCCGAGCTTTGACAGTGCTCTCCATCGAGCGGCGTGAGGGTGAGGTGGATCATGTGCGCTGCCATGTTAAAGGACAACAGGAAACCTCTGCAGAAGTGTGTATCCCACTTTCTGCCCAAGGGGAGTTCAAAGAGTGTGAAAGTGAGGAGCGCTTCACTCTGAGAGAGATCATGTCCTCGCCATGCCTGTGCAGTCGAAAGTTTCGCTTCATCAACACAACCAAGTGTGATCGGCCCCTGGTCCTCTGTCCAATATACCAGGTCCACGCCATCATGAGCAGTAAGAATACCCTAATATTTTCTTTAAAAAGTGATCTGCATCTGGGCTATATCATGGTTATTATTTTCATTTTGTTTATCTGTTGATTGAAATGGAATCAAATGAATGTAAATGACTCAAGTACTGCACTCTATTATGATTAATAATCACAGTTTTAAATTGTTTCTATTTAATGCCTTACACATCTGAGAGGTAATTTTTTACTTTCACCACCACATTTAGTAGTTGTATAGCTATATATTTGACAAAATCAATGTTAATCTCATTATAGGGGCCCTAGTATCAAATCAAATCAAGTTTTATTTATATAACACATCTTTAAGCGATTTTTGGTCGAGCCAAAGTGCTGTACATAAAAATACCCTACAGTAAAGACACTTTACAGCAAATACAACAGCACAGTTTGTGCAGAATATCAGTATGAAAAAACGACACCCTCTGTCCTTATATAATTATATAATATGCTCATTTCAGAATCATATATGTTGTGCCTCTACTGAGACTTGTTTATATGCTCTAATGTTCAAAAAATGCTTTCTTTTTTTCATACCGCCTCTTTTCACCCTGAAAGGAGAGCTCAGTCTGCTCTGATTGGTTAACTTGCCGGCTCTGCTGTGATTGCTCAGCCTCTTATGGCGCGTTTCCACTGCAGCGCGGAGCTCGCTTTAAGCGTGCAGAGCCGTGCGGGGCCAGTTTTCGGTTGCGTTTTCACTCGGCCTAGTACCGGCTAGCGGGTCCTAATTCACAGTTTTTCTGACCCCATAAAATCGTGGTTCTAGGGCCAGGAACAACCAGGCTGAGTCGGGCTGAGTATGCTAAACTAGAGAGAGAATCGCTGGCAAGGGGGCTACAACTACAACAAGATGAACATATTTGACCGTGATTTAATTGTAATACACGTTTCAAAATAATGCCGAAGTAACAACTTACTGATACCGGTTAGTAAAAACCATGAATTAATGCTTTGACAAGTCTGCAGACAGACGGCAGGCGAAAAACCTTTTTAAAATGCGTGTTGTCTAAATGGAGATTGGCTAACGTTGTAAATGCTCCGATCGTCCACACTCACAACAACGGCCTATACAGACATAAATAAACCAGCTGTATTCGCCATGACACAGACAGTCTGTGGTTTGGACTTGTTTAACTTTTGTCTAGTTTCTGAACAGATATGAGGAGCTTTGAGCTCTGACAGCTAACGGCTGTGTTGTTTTTCTGGGGCTCTCATTGAAGATTACGTTACGGCTCCGCCTACACTGCGTTACTATAGATACTACCCCAGTTCCTAAACTGTAATGGAAATGCGCCATAAAGTGGGCCAGTCCTGTGAAGTGAACGAGGCCTAGCCATACCGAGCGAGGCCGTGTAGTGGAAATGCGCCATTAGAGATGTTATGAGGAAGCGAAACTCTCTTTGGAAGGAAAATTTGGGATTTTAGCCTTTGCCGACTATTAACATGCACGAAACCTATAACACACTAGAGGAAAGGGAAAGTTCAAAAAGCATAATAGGGCCCCTTCTAATATGGTGCATTGTATTAGATGACATTACCTGGCACTACATAGAGTATTACAAATGTGAGCCACCTTGGCCAGGGTCAAAGTGTTCAAAGATACAATACACTCAATAATAATATACACTCATCTTGACAGATTGTGATCTGCATAATGAGAATTTGTGAGTGGGACTTTTCGAATATGATGTTGAAGACCATATTAGGTTTATTTACCTAATGCAGGCGTATTTTTTAAACAGTACTGCTAAATGTACACGCACTACCATTACTTAGAGGAACAGTTTTTTCATTTTTTTCCATCACTGATAAAGCACAATTGTTTCTCTTTTACAGTGAGGAAGAACGTGTTGAAGTTTCCCTCCAGCTTAGAGGTGGATGTGGTCGATGCCACTGAGCTGTGCGAGGACGTGAACTTTGTGACGCCGCTCAGTCTGACAGAGGTCTTTTCCCAGCCGGAAGAATCCTTCCCTGCTGTAGTGGAGATACTGGAAGTCCCTGAGACGCGCTCTCTGTTCAAGTGCAGCTGGCTGTCAGAAATGAAATTGGGCAGTAAAATGATTTTCCACAAGAAAAGCTCCACAGCCATGGTTCTGTTATCCAGCCTGAAGAGCCGAAAGTCTCAGCAGTTCTTCCTGGTGTCTCAGCAATACGGTGGACGATTCCGCAGGCGGCCAAGAGAGTTTAATTCAGTGTACGAGATGCATGTTGCTTCATCCCTGGCACCAGCTCTGAAAGTGGGTGTCACGAGGAGCTGTGAGGAGGTGGAGGAGGAGGGCCTGCCTGCGCTCAGTGTGGGGGAACAGCTGGAGGTTGTTCGCTGTGAGACCGTGGAGCTGCCTTGTGAAAGCAACAAGGAACAGACGCAGTTTGTCGAGGCTCTGCTGTGTCGGCGTCTCCAGGACCCAGACGATGACGATGATGATGATGATGAAGATGAAGACGAGGTGAAGCAGGAGAATGGCAGAGAGGAGATTTTTCTGCCTCTGTACATGCAGGGTCACTTTGTGGAAGTACTCAGTGATAGCAAAAAGTACAAACTCAAGGACTTGGGTAAGAAGTTTAGTTTGCCCCTGAATGTTAAAGTGGTGAGCCGGGACACTGAACTCGAAGCCGATCCACTCGCTGGGTTTGCGTCTCTCAGAATAGAGGCGGCCATGTTGGAGCCCACCATCCAGGCAAGCTTTGCACACAGGCCAGAACACTGTTTTGAAATCCCAACGGAGTGGCTCTCTATGTCTGTCCATTTTACCAAGGACCCCCTTCCGTGGCCCAGCAGCAAACCCCCTAAATGCCATGTGGACAGAGTCACTGAGGTGACAGACATGTTCTTTTATGAATTTCGCAAACAGGGGAACTTCGACGCAGCTCCTCCACCCCGACCCCCTAAGCGAAATATGTCATCTTCAAAGTCTCTCAAAACCCCATCAAAACCCTTAAAAAAGTCAATCAAAAAGTCATCCAACAAGAGCGTCCCGAGCACAGAGTTAGCCACTTTGACTTTGGATGGCAAGCGAAGGCCCCCAGCCCCCCCGACTCCAGTAAGTATGGATTTTAGTTATTTATTTGTGCATTTCAAATGTAAGAGTGGAAAAATTATTGAGCAAATGCACAGGAGGGATGAAAAGAAACCCGAGGGCTTGTAAAAGGAACCCACCAACACTGATATTAAATAGAAAAAAATAACTTTATACTCTAGAAAATCAACAGTGAGATAAAAGTTGATCTGAGACATAGTTACCATGAAACTGTTTCAGGGAATATGGAAGTGAATTGTCAAGAAATTGAAATACAGAAGTACCCATTTAAAGAAAGAGCTGGAGAAAATTAGCTTTTTCATATTATTTTGTGATAAAAACATTGAATGGGTACTAGTTTTATATGTCCATATTTTAAGCAATTGTGTGTTAAAGAAACAAAATCATATTTAAGTACAGAAATATTACTCATTAGGCAGATGATAAATGGTCAATGTCAGTGTATATTATTTTACAGTATACCATATTTAGTTTACTTTAATTCACAAGGTATGTAAAGATATACTATAGAGTTATTGGACACAGAAAGGTTTTTTATAACATGTTTTAATTGCCAAACAATACCAATATTTCAACAACTTTTTGGACACATACAAATGTTTTCTGTTAAAGTAGATCTTAAATGATTTACCCTTAAATCTTTACATGGGGGAAACTTTTCATGCAGGAAACAGGATCTATTCGAAGTTCACTGTGGTTCGGCTCTTTTAAAATATTTCTTGTCATGTGTCTCGTGTAAATTCTATGAAACCCACCACAATGTGACTTTTGACTTAGAGAACAATTTTTCTCTCGAAGTGAGCCTATCAGTGAACTGGTCAGAAACAACATCTGAGTATTCAAACACAATGCTTCCACTTTTCGCCGTGGTGAAGAAGTGGTGTGTTTAATCAAGCTGAATGTGTCTAACTTCCTCTTTTTGTGCAGGGTCTTTTGACAGGCCAGCCTCCACCATTAATACCCCGAAAGCACTCTGTGACTACAGGCAATGCTCGGCCGAACACCTATGTGCAAAGGGAGGACCCCAAGATAAAAGGTGGAGAACCGGATGTAGAAGTTAAAAAATAAAATTGTTTCTCATAAAAAAAAAAGACCACTATTGTTTGTAACTCAAGCAGGAGGAAATGTTTTTGGGTGTTTTTTCAGATGCAAATTAAAACATAGTGGTTCTCTAGTCTAGATGTATTTATGGCACAAGTACAGTGCATGTGCCATTGACACAACATCCTTAATATCAGATACACTACAGTACCCGTGTGAAAAAGGAAGTAGAAAAATGTGAAACTTTGAAATAGAGCTTGATGACTGGGAGGATTAGCCTCATCATATCAACTCATTACTTGTTTGTGTTTATTGGATTTGCTGACAGGAGGAACAATATTTCAAATAAACAACATTACTGAATACAAAATAAACTGTACTTCTCTTCTCCCACAGTGCATCTGCCTGAAATAGCACCAGATGTGGACAGCGACCATGACTATGAAACTGTGGATGAGACTTTTGCCACGATCCTGAAGGACGCGCAAGAGAATGTCATGTTTTACTGAAATGATGTCCTGCCACGACAGAAACAAATCAAATATAGGCGGTGGGAACTGAAAAGAAAATGGCATATTGCATATAGTGTTTTTAAGCTCTTCCATCTTGATTTATTTTAGAGAAGAAAGGGTTTAAATAAGGTTAGATATTTCAGTTGAAGAGGCCCTTTTGTGCTTTTTTGGGGTTTTCCCTTTCCTATAGTGTGTTAAGATAAGATGGTACTTTATTGATTCCCAATTTGGGACATTTTTTGTTAAATGGGTTTTTGTGCATTTAACTGAAACGCCTCAATTGGACTCCTTTGTCATAGTGACATCACTCGTTCTTCTATAAGAGCTCCAACACACTGTACATGATAGGCTAAGGGGCGGGACATCTCTAAGCGGTTGACCAATCACAACCAGCCCAACATACTGGGCTCTGGTTTCAGACAGAGGGTGAAAAGAGGCAGCATGAGAACAATTAAGAGCTTTTGGATCATTAAAGCAGGGACACATGTCACAGTAGAGACATTAAATACAAATATGGAACTGAAAATAAGAATGATATGTCCTCTTTACATATTAAATTAATCAAACATAAGCTCCTACCGGTACTGCTTTGATCATTTACAGGATTTATAACACCCCACGGGGCTTTTGGTGGCTTGTGTCCCGACTTGTTTTAATCAGAAGTTTAGAGTGCAAACAAAGCGAACAATAAGGACATGGGAAGTCATTCAGTTTGTGGACAGTTTGATTAGCTAATGTTTGCCCACACATCGCCTCGCTGTGTATCAAAACATACCAACCTTGCTTCCAATGTGGTTCAGCGAAACACTTTCAGTCTCCATCCATTTGTTTCTGCGCTCTAACCACTTTATTCACCTCATGATTGAAAGTGGCTTCAGCTGTGTCGTAAACTTTGATCATAAACATACTACCCGTGTTTTATTTATTGTACCATTTGTTGGACTATGTATCAGTATATTTGTGCTTTTTAATCAAGCTTGTGAGAATATTGTGTACTATATAAGAGTTTCAGGAGCTGTAGTGTTGAATGTTGTGTCAAAAAACGCATATTTACGAGTTTCGCGATGGGAACTTTCAACAGTATACGTGCAAACTTAAGTGTATACGAGTTAACAAAAGCTGGGTGAGTCTTAACCACATTGACCACAAAATAGCAGTGGCTCCCCTAGAAGTCACAGCCAACAAATGGGTGACAAACATTCTAACACTTTTTTTGGTGCTTATGAAATGAAAAAAAGAATGCAGAAGTTAATTGTATTTCCCCATTTCATTTGGTTTATATTTTTTCTTGCATTTGTCTGTATTGTTATTTTGTACTAAAGATGTTTGTCTCAACAACATTGAGGCTTCTTAATCACTCGTTTGAATTTTGTTAAAAACAGTTTACTTTGTTTAGATATTTATTGTCAGATATTTTTGCTCTACATGTCTGCATCCTGCCCACAACTGTACTGAACAACACGTGGACTTATTCAAATAAAGAGACATCTGAAGTGGGAAGAGAACAATGTATCGTTTTGTGGCGTCACAACTTAATACTCATGTAAATAAAGTGCTCCTGTATTTGAACACATTTCTACAAATTGCTTGTTGTTATTGGGACTTGTGTGTTCATGGCTCATTATCTTAAATTCAGATTTAAAACGTCTTGAATAATCTCTAAACAGACATGAAGTAAGAAGAATATCACAAGTGTTAATTATACAATATTTTATTATGGCAAAAGTGAGTTAAACAGACAAAAAAAACAAAGTACTTGCTTTCAAAATCTTTTAAAATTACAAAATGCTTTACAAAGAAATGGTGTGAAATACATAGAAACAGCATTTGCTACCAAGAACAACAACTTCCTCAAAAAGCAACACCTCTGGGACTGGCAAAATACAGAAGCAACCTTAAGGATACAGGATGTGTCGACCAACAGCCTCACCAACATAAACCATGTGTTCTTCAACTAACACCGACCACAGTGCCGTGACTCACACGGATCATGGGAAGTCACTCAGTTTTAGCATTGGCACGGGCAGAGAGGTTGTGTTTTAGGGGAAAGCTTTGAGTTATTATCAAACAGATACTGAAGGACATATTAGATTCAACTCAAACAACTGGATCTAATCATCGCTGTCTGTCGATTTGTAGTGATCTTCGTCGATGGTGGAGAAGATGTGACCTTCGTTGCTTAGGAATTCCACTGCTTGCCTGTTAGAGAACGAAGAAATACAAATGTTTTAAGGTCTTTTCATATGAATTTCAAGCAACACAAATAACATGGTGCACATTTACAACGGCAGCTGCAACCATAAGTACATCAAGAGCAAAATAGATTGGCTATTTTTAGAATTTTCTAGCAAAATATGCAAAACATTTTTCTTGGTTCCAAGCTCTCAGCCGTGAGAATTATACATGATGAAGTAGGAAGTGTTTCAAAAGAGATTAAAAGAGTATAGATTAGAAAGAAGACTTTAAAGCACATGTGTCAAACTCAAGGCCCGCGGGCCAAATCAGGCCCTTGGTGGATTTAATTTCGGCCCGCAGGATAATTTCTAATTGCTATTAGATCTGGCCCGCCGATATATTGCACCTTCACTCCATCCTGAGGATTTCCTCAGCTCAGAGCCTGAGCCCAAACATTGATGAACTTGCACCCGAGATGAGATGCCATCCATCTAAGAAACCGGATGGCCCGGACAACGTAGAACCTTTCTTTTTAAAGATAGCTGCAGATTTTATTGCTCTTCCTCTCACTACTCTTTTTAACCTCTCCCTCAACACAAATGCAATTCCAAAAGTTGTGCAGCTCTATTTATTGACCTGTCCAAAGCGTTTGACACCATCGATCATCGCATCTTAAAGCAGAGGCTAGTCAGTATTGGCATATCCAGCCATGCAGTGGGGTGGTTTGTGAACTACCTCTCTGAAAGGTCCCAATGTGTTCAGTTTAATGGGCTGTCTTCTGAGAGGTTAAACATTACTAATGGTGTTCCTCAAGGTTCTGTTTTAGGTCCACTTTTATTCTCCATCTATATCAATAGTTTAGGTGAAAATGTGAATGAAGCTACTTTACATTTTTATACGGATGATACCGTGATGTACTGTGCAGGTCCCTCCATTAAGGAGGCTGCTGTTAAATTACAGGCTGTTTTTAACATTATTCAGACTCAGCTCTCTGAGCTTAAGCTTCTTTTAAAATGTTGATAAAACCAAGGTAATGCTATTTTCAAAAGCTAAAAAGACACTAGAGCCTGTTTTAGATATTGTTACTATGCAAGGACAAGTACTTGAAGTGGTTACCTGTTACAAATACCTTGGTATCTGGCTTGATGATTGTCTTACTTTTAAACTTCATGTCAATAACCTGCTTAAAAAGCTGAGGGTTAGGCTAGGTTTCTTTTTAAGAAACAAGTCCTGTTTCTCGCTTGAGGCCAGGAAAAGGCTCTGTGACCTTTTTACCTGTGCTGGACTATGGTGATCTGGTCTATATGAATGCACCTGCCTATTGCCTGAACAAGTTAGATGCCGCCTATCACAGCGCACTGAGATTTGTCACAAATTGTAAAGCACTTACTCATCACTGTACCCTGTATGCCAAGGCAGGTTTGCCATCACTTACTGTAAAGAGGCTCAGTCATTGGTACACGTTTTATAAAGCTTTGTTGGGTAAACTCCCGTATTATATCTGCTCTCTGATAACACAGAGAGTTGCAAGCAGCTATTGTCTGAGATCGCATGATGTAGTATTGTTAGATGTGCCAAGAGCAAGGACTGTCTTAGGTAAGACAGCTTTTATGTGCACAGCTCCATTTGCTTGGAACAATCTTCAGCAAGAATTGAAACTGAGCAATCTCATTCCTCTGCATGTTCTTAAAGCTAGGCTAAATGAAATGCTCGTTGATACTATGGGCACTTGTAAATGTCTATAACTATGTAAATGTATCCTGTAAATATAATGTATGATGTCCTTTATGTTTTATGTGGAACCTATATGCTGCAGATCTCCCTTGAAAAAGAGATCTATGATCTCAAGGGACCAATCTCGTTAAATAAAAGGTTTGAAATGAAAATGAAATGAAAGATGCCAAGTATCTGGCTTAGTGTGCATCACAGAGCTGCAAACTGAGTTTCAATGGATGTTTCCTTCTGCACTTTGTTTCTTGAGACAACAGGCCAGGGCATGTTTGGTTTGTCCTTTGAGGGAAATTGTTTTTTTGAAGCTGTTGTTGGCCTGTGGAAAAATGTAATCATAAGAAATGACTCTGGAAAAGCTGCAGATAGAGCCATAAGAAATGAATGCAACTGATTATTTAATGTTTAATGTTGTTTTTATAGGCAATAATTTAAGCTTTGTTAGTTCCAGGTTCAATATGTGCAATAAGTTCATTTCAATAAGTTCTGCAATAAACATTGAACCAGTCCGGCCCTCGACTAGTACCCATTTCTTTATTTTGGCCCACTGTGTATTCGAGTTGGACACCCCTGCTTTAAATAGTATAACTCTCGTCATATAAAATTAATACAAATAACGAAGTATAAAATAGACATATTTGGGATACCATAAAGGTAAATAACAAAAAGAAAAGAAATGAAAGTCTATCAAATAAAAAGTGACTGGTTGCCTGGAAGTTTATCAGATTATATTTAAGCCACTTTGACTCCTTAACATAAACAAATAACAGCTACCAGGTTCCTGAATGCTCGGCTGATCCAGGGCCTGTTCATGCTGAGAACAAATAGTTAGTAGCATCATTCAAATAGGCAGCTTCCCTTTCTTGTGACAGATTTATTCTTACCCAATAAAGCCACCCACTGGTGCAGGAGAGCGCCCTTACAATGTGGATAAGCTTCTGTGAAATCCTGACTATGCATTATATGCTAAAGAACAACAAGCTTTAATATTTGCATTATATATAATTATGAAATCGTTTAGGATTCTTCGCCCCGTTTGTCTCTTCTTAAAAAGGAAAGCTATGAAAACAAAGTGCAAACAATGAGATCATTGTCAATGAGTCATCGTCTAAAAGTCCCCGATAGCATCACTGATCGGACGCTCGGAGATTAATATGGGTGCAACGCAGTAAATAGACTTCACTTTTTGTTCACAAGATATAAAAAAAAGGGGAACTTGACTTACTTTATGACAAGCAGACTCGTTCCTCCCAGTCTCTGCTTCAGGTCCTGGATGCTGATGCCCTGCGGCTCGGGGCAGCCTCTTATCAAACTCAGCACCTTGTGAGACGAGCAATGACAAATGAAAACCCGCACGCAGCGTCACAGAGGAAACACAGAAGTATCCTTCAGCTCCAGAAATGAAACCAAATACTCTTTTTTCCCCCTCAGTAAACCATGTTCGTGCATTTCAGATATAATAAGGAGGGGCAAGACGTAACAAATTACACATCTTCTTAATGTCCTTCTCCACATTCATTCGTACGCTTGTCTGATAATAACTGCAGCTTTTCTGTCCAGGGATCATTGTTGAATGTGTTCGATTCAGAGGTGGAAACTGTATGGTTCTTTTGTGTGCCGTTCTTCTTAATTATTCACATCTATTTGAACTTTCATTGTCAGGTCAGCACACACCACCTGAGTATGGTGGCTGTGGCGCAGTGGACTAGTGCGTTGGTGTTGGGATCAGGGGGTCACAGGTTCAAACCCCACTGCAGTCAGCATGTTGTTGTGTCCCTGAGACACTTCACCCCAAATTGCTCCTGTGGGGGTTGTCCACAGTGTTGAGTATGGAAGTCGCTTTGGATAAAAGCATCTAACAAGTGACATGTAATGTAATGAGTACTACCTAATACCATTGTATTCTCTCATTTGTTTTCCACCAGGCTGTCAGGAGGCTGAACTCCCTCCCCTCCCTCCCCCTGCCACCAACTTCCCACACACTCAATTCCAGCCAGACACTTTTTACGCTGGACTATCCGACTGTTATTTTGTATATATTGATTGTTGTGCTTTTATTTAGGTCTTAATGTGTGCACATGTAAAAAAAAAAATATCTTTGATTCTGTGTATATAGGTATAAACACACACATATTTTTATATACATTTGTTTTTATATATTCGGGATTGTGGGAAACGGTATTTCGATCCCTCTGTCTGTACACACGAACTGAAAGATTGACAATAAAGTTGACTTTGTAATTCTAATTGACTACATCGTTAAGGCTCACCTGATTCTGGTTTGCGCTCAACCCGTTGTTAACCATGTCGGTGGCGCCAGCATAGCCTACTCCCTTGCTTCCTGTGTCCTGTCGTGAGGTGGGCACGACCTTAGCGCCCCCTCCAGCACTGAACTGAAAGAGAAACACAAATAAAGTGCGTCAGCATATTGCCTGGAACAGCACAAAAGAAAAAAATCAGGAAGACAGATACTTAGAAACATGATATGAACAAACGTGACTTCCTCATGTCCCTTCAGGGAAACACACAGTTTACTCTTCTCTGCTAGTAGAGGTATGCTACCCACGTCATTTACAGAATGGCAATCATTTTCAAACTGATGTGTTTCTGTATTGATTAAAATAAAGAATACTGTAACATATTTCTAAGCACTAAGAGCTAAACTGTCTTCCTAAAAAAAGGGGGTTTTCAGCAAGCACCCACCTCCAGGGCGCCGGACATTTTTTGAAATGGCTCCAGGAGGGAGTTCATCTCCATAGACCCCGATGTTATAATTCCTAATTTTACTTAAAAAATAAACATTTTAATAGCCTTCAATAATGACAGTTTGGGTTATTATATTCATGATAACTGTATCCGGGGTGAATTTATATTTAACTCATCAGTTAAAACTAGGGCTGTCAAGTTAACACCTTTTTTTTTTTGCGCCACTAATTATTTTAACGTGCAATTAACGCATGTGAATTTGTCCTCAGCCCGCCCCGTAGTTTCAGAGCCCAAAGGCTTGATGTTGATGTTGTTAGTTGGATGGTGGCAGATTCTAGCGAGATATATGGATACAAAAAAAGGTGTTTTAAACAGCAAGCCAAGCACACAGCTCATGCTGACAGCCCCGCTCCTGACGCTCGCTTGCGGCAGACCACCATTGAAAGTTTGCCGGGGAAACACCTGGACACGGCGTCTACGAGCAGCAAGCTTTCAACAGCGATAGCTAAATGGGTGGCGGTGGCTACAGCTTGGAGGACAATTAACATTGTGGAGGACGAGGGACCGTGTGAGATCATTCGGATCACAGCGCATTATTTTGACCCTAGGTGGGAACTTCAGTCTCATGCTTTGACTGCTATGAAGACAGAGGAGCGGCATTTCACTGACAACTTTAAACAGGCTCGTCTGTTTGAGCAACTGGCTCAGTGCAGAGAAGTACACAGGGTTGGGAGAGAGAGAGAGAGAGAGAGAGAGAGAGAGAGAGACTGTTGTGTTGAGAATATTCAGGAGAATATTTGTCATAGTTCCAATGATAATAAACAAACATTTGCATAAAGCATATTTGTCCACTCATATGTTGATAAGAGTATTAAAAACTTGAAAAATATTCCTCTAAGGTACATTTAGAACAGATAAAAAAGTGTGATTAATTTGGGATTAACTATGGACATAATGCGATTCAATATTTGAATCGACTGACAGCCCTAGTTAAAACGTATCTTAAGGCTAAAAGGGACACATTACTAGAGTTGCCTCTTCAGAAACCGTATCAGATGCTACGTCTATACTTGATACGGTCTATGCTTTGCTTCGACCATGAATAAAGAGGTTTATAAGATAAGATGGTACTTTATTGATCCAAACTTGTGAAATTGTTTTTGTTGCAGCAGCATAAAAGACAAGGCCTTTTGCAATAAAACAAAACTAGAAAAAAACATTAGAAAGAAAATAGAAATGTAGATATTATATATACAAATATATATATATACATAAATATATGACATATGGAATATTAAATATTGAACAGATGATATATGTGTAAAATGTACAACGTGCTTCAGATTGCTCACCTGGCTCTGAGGGTTGCCGAGCATCATGTGCGCTTGAACGACCTCCAGCATATGAGAGGTGATCTCATTCATGTCCTCCAGGGGCCTGACGCCAAAGGCCACGACAGATCTGTGATTCTGAGAGAGGAAACAAACGATTCACACTCTCGCTTAGCTGTAAAACAGACACATTTACAGAGGAACTACTACGCTATAAACTAGAATAAAACAAACTGCTAATCTAAAAGCAAATGATCATAAAGTTAAAGTTCCTATTAGTTTCATGTTGCTGTGGAGAGGATGTGAGGATGGTAAACTCACCTGGAAGGAGCGCAGGTTCCCAGAGACTTTGACATACGTGCCTGGAGGCAGGACAGTGCTGTCCACACCGGGATCCTGTACAAACCAAACACATATTAAGGGACTTCCTTTGTGACGTTCACCAAAAACCATCTGAATAAGTGAGAATGCAACCATGTCTTATTTTTTTAAAGGAGTATGTTGAGTAACTGCAGAGTTGTTGCAAAAGAAGAGGGATTACACCACAGCATCAATTATATCGCAATATAATTGAGTTTGAGTCTTGATTTCACATTCTTAATGTATGTAGTGTTAAAGAGTTTGTAATTGGATTATTTTTGTGTAATGTACTGCACACATTACATTTATGCAAAGTCATGCACATTGGTATTTGCGTGTCTTTCACCAAAACTTGTTCAGGTTATTTATAGGGGATGAGAAGTGAAACTGAAAACTGACAATCATTTCTGGTCAGCATTGAGTTTGAAAAATTAGAATAGCCCATTTCTTAAAAAATGTTCAAAGAACCACAGAAGAACAGGAATGCCCAACTTTGACTTATTGGTATTGGGTTTTAGTAATCTCGTGTTTAGTACATTTTATTCGCCTTTCATGACACCCAAGGACACCGTACAATTTGTTAAATATTCTAAGAGGTAAAAGCAAGTGTTTACGGCTCTCTCGCAAGTGATTGAAGGTTGTGTGCAAAGATAAAAGCAGCGTCACTGACCTCTGTGTCGACCCACTGCTTCACATCCATGGGAGCGCCAGTCATGTCGTCCACCTTGTACTGGATGTTGGTCATGGATTTGTCCGTGCTCCTGATGATACCCACAATGGTAACCTAGGAGACAGAAAAGGAAATGTTATCCAAAAGTGAGATCGACAAGTTTAATTGTTACATTATGATTATAGCGGTGAAGACATAGAGAGGCGAAGTCCCGCCCATCTGCTTCTGACCCACGGGACCTTATTTCGGAAAACTTATGTATTGAAGTCAATGAAGAGAGAAAGATGATCTCTTGATTCCATTTGAATTGCGCCATGAATTACACATATGATGTTTGACAATGTTAAAGGTCCCATGTCATGCTTTTCCGGTTATTATCCGTCCCCTTGTTTGTTATGTAGCTTTTTATGCATGTAAACGGTCTGCAGAGTCACAAACCCTCAAAGTCCACCCTGTTGCGAGTAAAACTGTAACACAGAAAAGACCCGTCTATGCTGCCCCAGAACGCCTTGTTGGAGATTTCTCTTTTTCCATTATTTACTTCTTGGGTATAGTGACGTATTTCGGGTATAGTGACGTAACAGCTCCGGACCAATCTGCGGAGCCGACACACACACACACACACACACACACACACACACACACACACACACACACACACACACACACACACACACACGCTGCGAGGAGCGGGACACTGTGAGCTGGCTCACTGGTGTGGGGACCCCATCATGTAGACAGCCAGTCACCCTATGAGACGCAGACCACATCATGTAGACAGCCAGTCACCCTGTGAGGCAGACCACATCATGTAGACAGCCAGTCACCCTGTGAGGCAGACCACATCATGTAGACAGCCAGTCCCCCTGTGAGGCAGACCACATCATGTAGACANACATGAACAGGAATGCAGAAAATACACATGATTATAGCATGAGGGGCTAGAGAACCCAAGAGAATTGAATAAAACTAAATAACACCAGCGATACTTGGCGCAATCAGAGTAGGATTTGCCTCCTCTTTGCCTCCCACGTGACTCACACAGGACTCTTAATGTCTTTGTCAGTCTTCGTCTGGCTGACGCTGAAGCTGACGCTCCAGGAAAATGCAACTTAAGATGGATACCTGATTGCTCAGTTCTCACAGCTTTGGGGGCACGCCCCTGTAATTAGTTAACTATTTTCTGCTGATGGGCGACAGCAGAGTCTTCCTGCCTATTGAAATGCACACTTGAGGGGCGTGACTCACTGAGACCTGAGTTACGCCTGGAGTTGAGCAGATCTGAGATTTTAAAATCTCTCAGAAATCGCCGTTTTAGCTACAATAACTACAGAACAATTATACAGAGTAGAATAAATGAAACAGAGAAGTCTATTTAAACAAGAATATAACTTACAGTGATTGCTGAGTCAGTATCGATAGTGTCCTCGCCGATTCTGTTGTGTGTATATATATCTATATACACACAACATAAGAATAAAAGACTACATTAACCTAATAATGATATGGTGTATGAAGTGTCTGTGTTACATCTGCCCTCGGCCTCTCTAATGTGACCCGTCAGCCTGAACCAGACGTGTGCTGTGGAACACAGATCACTTCACTCTTCCGCTCTTCTTCCCTAATTACCTTTAATCACTTCCATGGCTTTAGACGTCTTTAATTGATGGGGGAGAAAGAGGTCGCCTTTGTCCAATCCTGTGTTTGGCCTGTGTGTTTACAGGGAGCTTATAGGCAGTTTGACCTCTAGCTACAGTGTAGTTTGGGCAATGGAAATCTTATGTCCTTGGCTCTTCCAACAATGCAACATAAATGTATATATATTTATACATAAAACAATACAAATAGTACAAGAAGATAAAGAAATATAAATAAAGGGCGACTGTGGCTGTGAGGGAGTGCGGTCGTCTTTCAACCAGAAGGTTGTGGGTTCGATCCCAGCCCATGCAGTCAACATGTCGATGTATCCTTGGGCAAGCTACTTAATCCTGAGTTGCTCCCGATGGCATGGCCAACGGTGTGTGAATGTGTATGAATGTTAGGTCCTAGAGTAAGGTACACTGCTCTGTATGAATGGGTGTGAATGGGTGAATGACATGTAGTATGTAATGCGCTTTGAGGGGTCTTAAGGACTGGATAAAGCGCTATATAAGTACAGTCCATTTACCATTTACCATAAAATAGTGCAAGAGGAAAAATGGAATAAGACGAAAGAAACACAGAATGTTATATCTAATGATGTACAGTGGAAGAAGATACTGCTTTTTGAAACTAAAATAAATGCTAAATATGTATGGATCTCTTACAACTAAGTGGACAGAAAATTCCCAGAGGTGATGACTCGGCACACATTGCGAGAATTATAGCGACATTTTAACAACACCCCACACAATCTTAAACTACTCAAAATGCACTCAGCAGTGCACTTCTTTTTAGAAAATGACTCCTTAACACTCTCCCTTTTCTAAATGGGCCCAGGAGCAGAAAGCTCTCTGCAGCAGAGTACTGCAGCGAAGCGAACAGCAGATTATTAAAGGTGTAATCTGCAGTTTATAGGCCTGAGTGTTAATGATTCAAAAAGGTTGTTGAAGTAGGCGAAAAGAAAAATGTGTGCTTAATCATCTTTATGTGGATATATGATGTTACATCTAAGGGGACTTTCCATGCATATTAATTTAAAGTAGATTTAGTGGGCAGCTTGACAATTTATAGGTTCATCTTTTTTCCTGAGGTTATAACTAAAGAAACAAAGATTTTTTTCATGGGCTTTATCTGTGTGAGTCAGAAGATGGAGTAAATGAATCCATATCAGTGTCTGAACTTTAGTTTTTCATCCAAAGCAATAACCAAGCTTATTCTAGTGGGTGTCAGCACAATGTAAGCACCACAGTACTTTTCTTAAACCTCGCTCCCAGAGGTGAAAGATTAAACAATCGTTGTTTTGGCCTGCAGCCAAACTGTCTGTAGACCCCTGTATCCACATAGTGTACAAAAAGCTCCCTGTGGCAATAATAAAACCCTTAAATAAAGCAGAACTGGTCAAATTGTTATTGCTGCCATTTGTCTTACAATTGGTTCCTCCTTATTCTTTGTTCTTTCTCCGTTTCGTTCCATTTTGCTCTGCCCAGCATCGATGGTCTGACCATCCCATCCCGCTGTGGTAAGGGGGCGCTGCGCAGGATCACAGAGGTGTTCGACTGCTGGTTTGAGAGCGGCAGCATGCCGTACGCCCAGGCCCACTACCCCTTTGAAAACAGGAAGGAGTTCGAGGACACTTTCCCAGCGGACTTCATCGCCGAAGGCATTGACCAAACGAGGGGGTGGTAAGCATCGGAAGATACGAGAGCTGGAAGAGGTCAACAGATGAGGGATCGGGACATTGAGAGCCTGCTGAGTTCATTGATGAAATTGACAAGACAGAGCATGAACGCATGGACACGAGTGGTGTTCTAAAACACTTCATTATACATTTTCTTCAATTGAATAGACAAGTATCAAATAATGGGAAATGGCTGAATAAAAATGGATAGTTTAATTGTATTTTTTCTCAGTTCTACTCCATACAAGGATTCAATTGTACAAAGATACTGCTCATTACCCTGACCTTGTGTAATGTCATGGTGTATCCTCCTGCAGGTTTTACACCCTGTTGGTGCTCTCCACAGCGCTGTTCGGCAAACCGCCCTTCAAGAATGTCATCGTTAATGGACTGGTCCTTGCTAGGTGAGGTTTATTAACAAACCCCTCTTCCTAATCGTCTTCCTTTTTAATTTGCGGATATATATATTTTTTGGTTTAATTTAAAGGCTGATCCATGTTTTTCTTACTGTCACCCAATGCTGTGAGAAGATCAAAACCAAGCATCTTGACACTTTCCAATTACTAGTCCCTTCAATTGTCTAAGCTTGCCATAGCTACACGGGCAATACTCAATCACAGGGTCAATGTTTGGTTCAAGCCTTCAATGGGTTTCGTTACCACTAAGAAAACACGTGCAAACTGTATATTTCAGTTTGTTTCCTTTCTTCTTCACCTGTCCATTCATCTCCTATTGTTTAGCTGTTTCCATTCCCAGTGTGATATGTGTGCCGTAACATTTAGCCTTAGATCTGCTCTACAATAGGGCTACTTGTCCTCAGCCCCGGGGTCTAAACGCAGCACTGTGCTCGTAGGCCTGCTGACCTGGAAGGACTTGACTCATTTGAATACCAAGTGCATGGTTTCTAACATGCACTTTTGGGCATGCATGCGTGTGGATGTGCATTAATGCCTTTGCTTGTCCCACTCCTACAGCGATGGACAGAAGATGAGCAAGCGCAAGAAGAACTACCCGGATCCAGGCCTGGTAGTGCAGCAATATGGAGCCGATGCCCTCAGGTTAGCTTCGTGCTCCACTGTGAATGAGTGTGTGTCTCTGAAGCATGAATGCGTGTGTGCCGGTGGCAGGGTTCTGTTTGTTAACTTACCTTATGTTATTAGCAGGCATGGTTTTAAAAGGTTTAAAACGCTATCCACGCTTATCTAGGCTCTTTCTTTGTCCCACAAACACACGCATACTGTACATACACATTCATATACATGTTGTTTATACAATCATTCAATACATCATACAATCGCTCCCTTGCCCTGAGCGGTGAGAGTGCCACGGCCATATGGTCCTAATGAATAAAGCACTATGCAGTTTCGCCATATGCTCACCTATATAGTGATGAAGAGATAAAAGGAGACATGGTGAAGTTCCTCTTTAAAGCATTACCATATGTAAACATGTAAATACAATCACTCTTTTGTCCCTAAAACTTCACTCACAGTATAGCTGTTATGGTACAGCAAGCTTCTTAGTATTTTTACTCTTACATTATATGGAAATTGAACCAGAGACTGAAGCATAGACTGTGAGGGTGTTTTGTATTTACAGTAGCTACCAGCAAACCGTTCATATGTGCCCATTTGGCCCATATTTATAATTTAATATTCAGTTATATGGATATTGCCTTTGGCTGCCTGAAGTTGCATCATGTTAGCCTTATACTGAAAACCCTTTTCTAACCAGTCTTCCCCGGCGCGCTGACGCATGCCACAGACTATTATATTCATATGCATTCTTCAGAATTTCTGTCAATTCAACAGTGTGTTTATTTGGCTTTAATGAAGAGAAGAGATACATTTTTAGAGATTGCTTGTAAATTAGGTTATGGCCCAAAAATTTTTTGCAGAAAATATTCACGGTGAACATTTAGACTAAATGGTGAATCTAATCCAATCAAGATTTGTCTGACAGCTAAATATCCTTACCATTAGGAAAATGTAGCCTGCGTCATTGCTTGCCTTTGATTGGTGTCCAATAAGTGTTTTTATAATCATGTGAAGAGTAGTGTTTGCCTTGTTCTGTTGTTGCAAAAACAGCCTCAAAGATGAGCTCTTCTTGCTTTGTTTGCTGTCAGATTACAGTTTCAGATTTGTTGCATTTTATACATTTGAACAACTCGTTAATACACACATTTTTCCGAGTTGTTGTTTCGATTCAAATTTCGAGTCTGAATCTAATTTTTCCTATTATTCCAACACCACATGATTGCAGCAGAAATGCATATTTCCCAATGTTTACACAAAACAAAACACAATTTGTGTACAGGTTCTTAAAGATTGACTTAATGTGTGTAGGTCCGCTTACACAAAAAGCCTCACTCATTCATAGAGATGTTCAGTGTGCACACCTTGGAGTTACTACCTGTGTACACACTAAGTGAAAACCAATTTTGCCAAACAGCTGATTTACTGTCCCTCTTTGTAGACTGTACCTCATCAACTCTCCTGTAGTGAGAGCAGAGAATCTGCGTTTCAAAGAGGAGGGTGTGCGCGACGTGTTGAAGGATGTCTTCCTGCCGTGGTATAACGCCTACCGCTTCCTGGTGCAGAACGTACAGCGGTTACAGAAGGTAATGAACACATTCCCTATCCCCCTAATCAAGGTCTAAAATGCACAATGCTACAGAACATTGTTACTATTATTCATCATTTAAATATAGAAATAATGTTGTTCTCGTTGGTTAACTGATGGTTATATGGGTCCACATTGGATACAATTTAGAAGCAGACATTTTTCTTCTGATCTGCACATTGAAGCTATATTTTTTTAGCAACTTTAAAATATATTAAGAAGAGAATGATTCTCCTCAAAGGGTGACTGCAGTAGCTAGTAGTAATACACTACACATCTAAACATATCAATGTTGACACCTACAATCAAAGAAAGTAACATCTGCTGCAGCTACATGAACAACCTGTCCCCTTGATTCCCGTCATCTGTCTTAATCAGTTATAGTAAATGGCATAAGATCCTGTTATGTGTGTCGATTATACGTGTTTGTGTGTGTGTGTTCAATCTTGTGTATGTTTGCGTCAGGAGGATGACATTCAGTTCCTGTACAATGAAAACACGGCAAAGCAGAGCGACAACATCATGGACAAATGGGTTCTGTCCTTCACACAGTCCCTCATCCAGTTCTTCAAGGCTGAGATGGACGGTGAGACAGACATCCTCAAAACACACACACTCTGGTGTTATTATTTGATATAGACAATGACAAAGACAATAAGAACTAGGCGTAGCACACCATAGTGCCATTGCGATGTGTTTATGCTTAATATTCATTTTGCAAGACTTTATAACTATTTAGCTGTCTGATACCAAAGGGAATTATCAATGATTATTTGAGTGTTTCCAATTAATAACCTACAGACTCGGCATACCCACCACATTTATTTATTTAATTAACTTTACATAATGTTTCAGCGTACCGCCTGTACACTGTCGTGCCTCGCCTGGTCAAGTTTGTGGACATGCTCACCAACTGGTATGTGAGGACCAACAGACGCCGACTGAAGGTGAGAGCACAGCTCCGAATCAGTGCCTGTTTAGAATCAACATTGTTATGTAAGGCAGATGCAAGGTGCAGCTAATGACTCAAATGTATGCAGTCCCAGGATCTGATGAGTCACATTAATGCAGACGATGCTTCTTTAAAGTTGATGTCCTGTATCTTTAGTTTTTGATGTTGTTTTGTTAAGCTCATACCCATAGTTAAAGGGAACACTAATTTAAGCTACCCCTAAGTCTCTTCATCGTCCGCAGATATTTTGTAGCTATCAGTTTGTGGCCCTCCTGGTCACAATGTAGTCAAATTGAATTGGGGATACATGCGCTGATGCTTGCTCAGGCACTTTTATCTATTTACTGTTCCTAGGGGACTGACTCTTTGTGTATGTGCGTGAACTTTGTAGGGAGAGAGTGGCACTGAGGACTGCCTGTGGGCGCTGGAAACCCTCTTCAGTGTTCTGTTCTCCATGTGCAGGCTGATGGTGAGTCATACTGTGTGTGTGTGTGTGTGTGTGTGTGTGTGTGTGTGTGTGTGTGTGTGTGTGTGTGTGTGTGTGTGTGTGTGTGTGTGTGTGTGTGTGTGTGTGTGTGTGTGTGTGTGTGTGTGTGTGTGTGGTGTGTGTGTGTGTGTGTGTGTGACGACGTAGTAGTGTGTGTGTGTGTGTGTGTGGCACTAAGAAATAATGTTGTTATGGAAGAGGTGTGCTTGCATGGCGATGAATTATGCATGAACAGTAGGAGTTTTTATTTATAACACATTAAAGATGTTTGCATGTTAGGCGAGATGCATGCTAAAAGCCAGTTAGCCTAACCCGGATCAATACGGATCAGCTGTTTGCTGCACAAATTAGCCGTGGTTGAAATGGAAGGGAATTACATTAGAAATGAACTTGCTCTGGCAAGGGTGCATGACCTTTTGCATCATTAAGGAAAAATAAATACAGTAACAATGTGTTTTTTAGAGCAACAAGGAATGCATATTAAATACAGTGCAGAGCATCTAATAATCTTCTCTTTTCCCTTTTCTCTTATGTCTACTTACTTCCTTCCCTTCTTACCCTCAGGCTCCTTTCACACCCTTCATTACAGAGATGATGTACCAAAACCTGCGTCACCTCATTGACCCGGCCTCTGTGGAGGAGAAGGACAGCAGCAGCATCCACTATCTCATGCTGCCCCAAGTCAGGTGAGAGAAATCCTCCAACAAAGCAAAAAAGATCGAGTGCTTTATGACACTTATATTAAAAAGAAAAAAGACAAAGGTGGCCTGAGAATTGTTGCTAACAATTAGCCGAAAGTGGAAATTGTGAAAGTCAAGGGCATATGAAGGGGACAGAGAGTAGAGAACCTCCTCTTCTCACTCACAGAGCTGAGTGTTCCCTCTGCTCCCACGCTCCAGCTCGTATCATTCCTGCTCAACTCAGAGCCTTCACACCAGTACATATTTAATACACCAGAACATTGCTTGGGATAAAGACATGCTGTACATCCTCATAGTGAGCACCTTTTGTAGATACAATAGAGTGGTGCAGTGTCGAGTCCTAAAACCCGGAAGTGAGTTAGCATTTTACCGCTACCGGTTCCCTCGTCTCAGAGCCAATGGGATTTCTCCATAGGACTTTGGAAAATAGCTGGAAATAAGGTCTGTGGTTGACACACATTGAAGAGACGCATCACGTTTTGATCTACGACATTAAATACATCAGCAGTGTGACCCCACTGGTGATTTATGAAGAGTTTACGTGTCTGAAAAACGATGGTTGTCAACAAGTGGCTGAATAGGACTACATAAGTTGTCGAGGACGTTGTACGTCATTACGCCGAACACGTAAACACTAACTTTGTTTGCCCTGTCCTGCTTGAGAGCAAGTACCTGCGCTCTTGCAAACTGTTAAAACTAACTTNGGGCCTTTGAGAGCCTGACTGTGCGCGACTACAACGACATGATCTGCGGAATTTGTGGCGTTGCTCCCAAACTGGAGATTGCGCAGCGACACACAACAAACGTACTGGAGCTGAAGAATGTGGAGGTGAGAGGTTAATGCAACAACATTGATATGTAAATAAAGCACAAAATACTTAGTGCTGTGAAGCAAGGTTAATATTAAAGGTCCCCTATATTATACTGTTTTTCATCAATATATTATAGGTCTCAGATACAAAACATGTCTCTGAAGTGTTTGTCTCCAAATACTAAACAGACCATGCATTGCAACATCCCATAATCCCCTCTGTTTCAGGCCTGTTTCCAAAGTGCTGATTCTCTGTCTGTTACTTTAGATGAAAATAAAGGAGCCCCTCCCCACACCCCTCTGAGAGATATTTGGTAAAAAAGAACACAATGGTGCTCTAAGAGGAGATTCAGGTGATAAGGGGGGGGGGGCGGGGGTGGTGATTGGCTAATGGTTACACAAGCCAAGAAATCGTTATGACATCATAAAGTTGCCAAAATCTGATCAGCTCATTTTCAGACAGGTTTTTATATAAATGGATCAGGACAAAAAGTGAGTGAATCTAATAATTCAGAATCTCTTCACACAGAGGGGGACACATGGTTATGTATGAAAGACATGAAAAAGTGGATTTTGCATAATAGGTGACCTTTAAACAGTATGTCTTCCACATGTAAAACCTAAAGAAAGTAAGCCTGTGAAGAGGCTTCTGTAGTGACCTCTTCACTCTGCCCTCAGTTTACCTGGCCGGAGTGTTCGGTCTCAGACGAGGTGCACGTGGACGACTTCTGGTTGACCATGGAAAGTGAGGCTATCGAGCAAGCCACTTTCCCCACTGACATCCCAATCACACGGGTGGATGCTTCCATCATCGCCCCCTTTATTCCCCCCCTCATGAGGAGTCCCACTGTCATCAACACGGAGAAAGACAAAGTGCTGCCAGATGCGCAGCAGCCCTCAGGTACCTCGTTCTATTAAACCACCTGTCAGTTTCATCTTTTGTATATGCTAATTATGCTATTATGGAGACTGAAAGGAAAGAGAAAAGGTACAGATGTATATTGTTTGATGATTTACTATTCTAACCTAACTTGTGTGTACTGTCAATAACCTCACCTGTTTCAGGAGATCCTTCAGCTTTGGTGCGTCTCATTCATGACGGTCAGCTGAGACTCGACAAGATTGAAGATCACAGTGAGGACGAGCTGAGAACAATACTGAGCAGCTGCAGGGCGAGCATCACCCCGGGCTCCACTAAGGTGTGTGTGTGTGTGTGTGTGTGTGTGTGTGTGTGTGTGTGTGTGTGTGTGTGTGTGTGTGTGTGTGTGTGTTATGTGTGTGTGTTGTGTGTGTGTGTGTGTGTGTGTGTGTGTGTGTGTGTGTGTGTGTGTGTGTGTGTGTGTGTGTGTGTGTGTGTGTGTGTGTGTGTGTGTGTGTGTGTGTGTGTGTGTGTGTGTGTGTGTGTGTGTGTGTGTGTGTGTGTGTGTGTGTCACAACTGAGACAAACAAATGTAAATGTTTCGCTCACATGTTTCTGCTAAAGTATGTTAAAGACTGTTTGTAAAGAAGTTGACAAATGCCCGTTAGAATACCAATAGATTCACTAATCATGGCCAGGAAATATATCCAGGAAATGCCCCCCCCCCCTGTGGGCTGGCAAGAAGTGCTTTCTGTAAGGGTATTTCTTTATTTATGCGTCTGTGTTTGTGTTGTTTTAACTTGGTTTTCTCTGGTGCACTCACATGGGTGTGGGGGGTGGTCTTAATAAAAGCCTCTTCTCTGTCTCCCTCTGTGTCAGGATGAGCTGCTGGCCTCTCTGATCTCCTTATACACACTCGTTCAAAGTGGCCTCTCCACGGCCCCGCAGCCCCCCCCTCCACACGTCACGGCCGGGAAGCTGTCCAAGCTCTGCCCCCATAAGGTAAAAACAGCAGCTATGTCACTCTTCAAAGAGAATCTGTAATGTATGAAAAACAAATATCTGTTTGCTAATCCCAATGAAAGGTGAAACTGAACTGTCTCTGTGTGTTTGTTAACTTGTTGACTCAATCATTGTCTTTCTGTCTCCAGGTGGTGTGCGGCTCTAAGTGTTTGGTCAGAGGAGAGACGGCTCGAGACCACGTCGACCTGCTGCTGTCGTCCCGCTTCTGGCCCCCGGTCTACGTCAGTGACTGCGCCCGCCAGGTGGCGCTCTGTGCCGACATGCAGTACCCGGAGCAGGCCACCCAGATGTGGGGCAGGAACCAAGGCTGCTTCTCTGACCCTTTCGAAAAGCCCGAGGTCAGTGATTTAAATAAAATCCAATGATCTATCAAGGACAAAATGGTGCTTGATAAAAATAAAAAGTAAAAATGTAAGGCCCAATCATAGAAATGAGAGATTCACATCCTTTGAAGATTGGCTTTAAAATGTTCATTTTTGTGCTAATATAAAAAGTAGCCCAGGTTTTCCTGTATTAACAAACATTAGCCATATAAAAAAGAAATCGTAAAAAGAGTCTTTCAGAGTAATTCAGCTTTGGTAAAAAGAGGTTTCAATCTTGTTTTCTGAATGTTGGTGTTTGCCTTAGCTTTTATTACACACTATACTAACTCACATCATATTAAATCACAGTCATTAACTGGATGTCTCACCTTTACCGTATGAATATATATTTGATAAAATCACAAAGTGAGTTGACAACCTCTCCCCTCTTTAGTTTGTGTCGTGTGCAGAGCTTCAGGAGCAGCCGTACAGCGCTGACCTGTCGTTGGCAGCAGAGAACCTGCAGGTCCACCCCATCACTAAATCATCTTGTTGCTGGTTGGTTCACCCCCCCGGAGCAGCTCTCCCTTCAGAGCACCACTCGATGTCCCTCTGCAGAGACCTGGAGCCCTACGCGGGCCTGGTGGCTGCGCTGGAGGAGGAGGGGGAGGAGGAGGGGGGGGCAGAGCAGAACGAGCAGACGGACAAAGCTGAGAACGGCTCCTCAGAGGACTGTTACTCAGCAAACCGTGCGCTGCGGCAACCTGTGGTTTTTACCAACACGGCATACTACTACCTTTACAACCGTCTGGTAGATTTCCTCACCAGCAGAGACATTGTGAGCGAGCAGATCAACCAGGTGGTGAAGGCCTGCCAGCCGGGGGAGGTGGTGATCAGGGACGCTCTGTACAGACTGGGAGTGGCACAGATCGACACAGAGAAGGAGGAAGATGAAGGGATTGGGGTGGAGGTGCAGACACAGGAGGAAGGGACAGAGACATGTGAGGTGGTGCTTAATGAATAGAAATGTTCAGGATGGACGGTTAAGATGCAAGGCAAAGAGACGGACTGAAGGTAAAGATGGCTGCATGCAGACATGAGGAGAGAAGAAAGTGCTACCAGAAGGATTCAAGAGTTTGGAAGTGACACTGAGCTAACCATCATTTGATGTGGAGAGACTCTTATCCTAGCCTGTACAATCTGCTTCACATTATTTGACTGATATGAGGATTATGGGTGACTATAGATGTGGTTTGACTTTTGCTCAAATGGACCTTATGTAGTAAGAATAATCCAAAGTATTGACTGTTATACTAAAATAATGCAATTACAGTTTACGAGGTCATATTCCTAACTTGATCTAACTACAGTGACACTGTGTGAGAGTCAGTATATGTCAACATGATGGAGGCTGAAAGTCAAAATGATTTTTTTAAGTGACTAAAGCAATTTAACAATACTAGTATTTTTTAATAATGGTGGTGCCAAGAGTGAAAGTGAAGTGAAAGTACGAGTTAAGGTGACTGAAAGAATGTAAGAAGGATTGGAATTCGCTCTGCTAAGCGTAATTGTATTTATTTAACCATGAATAGTATGTTGTATTTATTTCCCTTTGACGTCCAGAGATATTTTACACTCTTACCTCTCTCCCGCCACTTGTTGCCTTCTGGACTGACGTTTGCTTTTGAAAAGGTTTGATGAATGTTTATTTCTCTCTTGTGCTGAATCATGACGCTTTAATGGACCTTGTATGCAACACAATTATGATGGGCTAATGAAACATTTTTATGAATGCTGCTGTCTAAGTGGTTAAAAATAGTTTCACTTTTAGGACACATGTTAAATCAGTACAGCCGTTGGTTGGAAGAGATCACGGCAGCCATGTATATGATAAAGAAAATATTGCAATAAAAGGAGTGTTTGACACTGGCATGTCCCCAATATTTGGTCAAATCACAGGTTCTGATATGGCTCCTATCAAAAAATTACCAGGCCTTGAGCATCAGGGAACCCCAATGAACTGAAATATGTTTGTTTTTTTGGGTTTTGTGTGGTAAATGTGAAGAGGAGAGCAGTTTGTCTAAAGTGCACTTCACTCTGTTTCTGACGAAAGATCCGGATGTTCTTAACATGGGAATCAATTGGGAGCTAGCTGGACTTTTTGTCTCTTCATGCCCTCAAGAGGCATTTTGTTTAATTTTTTTTCTAAATCCTTTTTTATTTTACAACCTAGAAGAGATTTTCCTAAGTTTTTCATAAAAAATAATGTCTGAGGAGTGTAGGTTTTGGGAATATATGGCAAGTTTAAAACATCTTTGGGCGAGAATTTTAAGCACTGCTCCACTCTGTTTTGAGATCAAAGCCACTCTAGACTTACAAGCTGCTCCATCCACTGTAATGTTAAATCTGAAAAAGGCCCTCTCTACCAAGCTCCAAACTAAAATTCAACTAATATCTCAAAAAGTTTAAAATGATATCAAAAATCTGAATAGGAATGAATAGGCTGATCGGTCTTGTGATCATTTGAAAAGTTGGCATTAAAGTGATCTACTCTGAAATTATGTGGAAGGTAGAACCATTTGGCGCAAAGCGTAGCAAAAGTGTGATTTGAAGGCATCTCCCATTGACTTCCCAATGTTAAAAAAAAGAGTTTAGAAAGCTGAGAATATTTAAAAGGTGTGAAATATTTTTAAAAAGTTGAAAATTTCCAATCCAATTGCTGAAAAGGCTGAATAGTTTAATAGTTGAATGGTTTCTGTAGCTGAAAGTAAGCTGAAGTTATGGAGAGCTAAAGTAATTGGCTGGATTTGAACGGCTCTTCCCATTGACTTCCATGTTAAAAAAAGAGTTTAAAAAGCTGAATATTTAAAATACAGTATAATAATATTCTGAAAAGAAGTTGAAGGTCTCTCATCGTTCCCTGAACAGGCTGAATAGTTTATTATATTTGGAATGGTTTCTGTAGCTGAAAATAAGCTGAAGTTATGGAAGTGGCCAAAGTATTGGCTGAAATAAGGGGAAGAATAAAGGATTTGAAGAACTATAGTGGAATGCTGTAAACAGCATTCACACTAAAATACAGTATGTTTTTTTATTCAATTAACATGCTTGAGTCAATATTAATTTGCAGAAAATGATTTACCTTTAATTATGCATGCTGTGCTTTAGCATGCCTTAAAATCACCTATTACCTTTAACTGCTAACATATATTTGTTTTTATTTAAATTAAGTAAACCTTACTTTTGAATTCGAAATAAAGAAAGTTATTGTAATGAAATCAATATAATCACAACGGTTATTACCACAAAAATACAAAGCAAAGACAATGTAGCACTTGTGTTAAATTTCACATGTGTAGCAGTCTCATTATGCTTTACATACAACAAAATAGAAAAATGTTTTCTGAAATATTGTGAGATCTTATTGAGATGCGGCCACATTCGCATAAAGGTTGCAAACTCAAAGGGCGGTTGTAACTATATAAATATACATATATTTAATAATATATATATAAAATAATTTATTATATTATGCCTCTGAATTGGATTATTATCGGATAGGATAATACTTAGTAATTAACTACGTCCGAAAGCAGAAGTCCAGGCCAAAATAATTGCAAGTCTCTTCAGTGCGCATATGTCAACAAAACCGACGAATGCATGTGGGGACAGTAGTTTATGGGCAACCTGGCTTCTGTAAGAGTGGCATGTGAACCGTTATAATAAACGTGGTATTTATTATTCATTTGCAAGCTCTTGCGGGCCCATAAATGAAGTCGCGGGCCGGATTTGTGCTCTCTCTCGGCCTGAATATGGACCCCTGCCGTAGAGTGTAATTAGAAGTGTGAGCTTTTTCAATATTAATTAAATAGCTGAAACATTCATGAAAGGAGAAAATGTATTTAAATTCTCCGCTAGGCTACTCGTCGCGCTGAGCGATAACATACTTCTCTGCAAAAGACTTCCGAGTTTCCGACGTGCAGTGTTGACATGATACCTGTGGGAAAATGTTCCAGAGGAAATGCAGATTTTGCATTATTCAAGAAAAAGGAAGTAAAGCACATTATATCTGCCCTCAACAGAGCACTGCATCGTAATCTTTTAGTAATATTAATACTTCCTCCTTCTTGAGTTTTAATGGTACATCTTCTCCCAAAGCCTCTATAGTTTCTTCAGTGATTTTATTTGCAGCTTTTCATTGATTGTTTCATTTGCACCAAAACACACAGATACAGCATATGAAATATCGGTTACG